TTTATTGTGATGCATCCTATTTTGGTTTGGGTGCAGTGCTAATGCAAGAGAAGAATGTAATTGCTTATGCTTCGAGGCAATTAAAGGTGCATGAACGTAATTATCCGATCCACAATTTGGAGTTGGCTGCGGTAATGTTTGCATTAAAGCAATGGAGACATGATCTATATGGGGTTAAGTGTGAAGTCTATACGGATCATCGTAATCTACAGTATGTCTTTACTCAGAGAGATTTGAATCTGAGACAGAGGAGATGGATGGAACTACTGAAAGACTACGATATTACTATTTTGAATCATCCGGGAAAAGCTAACATTGTGGCAGATGCGTTAAGTAGAAAAGCAGGGAGCATGGGAAGTCTAGCTCACTTGCAGGTTTCTAGACGCCCATTGGCTAGAGAGGTTCAGACTCTGGCTAATGACCTTATGAGGCTAGAAGTAAATGAGAAGGGAGGATTTTTGGCCTGTGTGGAGGCAAGATCTTCCTTTCTTGGCAAGATTAAGGGAAAGCAGTTTACTGATGAGAAACTGAACCGGATTCGAGATAAGGTATTGTCAGGAGAGGCTAAAGAAGCAAAAATTGATGAGGAAGGTGTTTTGAGAATTAAGGGAAGGGTATGTGTACCCCGCGTCAATGATTTGATTCACACTATTCTTACAGAGGCTCATAGTTCAAGGTATTCTATACATCCTGGTGCAACCAAGATGTACCGTGACCTAAAGCAACATTTTTGGTGGAGTAGGATAAAGCGTGACATTGTTGATTTTGTTGCTCAATGCCCGAATTTTCAGCTGGTAAAGTATGAACACCACAGGCCTGGAGGGACACTTCAGAGAATGCCCATTCCTGAATGGAAGTGGGAGAGAATTGCAATGGACTTCGTGGTAGGTCTTCCAAAGACAATGGGTAAGTATGACTCCATTTGGGTAATCGTTGACAGATTAACTAAGTCTGCTCATTTCATTCCAGTCAAGGTGACTTACAATGCAGAGAAGTTAGCCAAACTTTATATCTCAGAAATTGTTCGATTGCATGGAGTTCCACTCTCCATCATATCAGATGGGGGTACGCAATTTACTTCTAAGTTTTGGAGAACATTGCATGCCGAATTAGGTACTAGGTTGGATCTTAGTACCGCATTTCACCCTCAGACCGATGGTCAGTCTGAGCGAACGATTCATGTTTTGGAGGATATGCTTGCGCATGTGTGATAGAGTTTGGTGGTCATTGGGATAACTTCTTACCCTTAGCAGAGTTCTCATACAACAATAGCTATCACTCAAGTATTGATATGACCCCATTTGAGGCTCTGTATGGGAGAAGATGTAGGTCGCCCATTGGGTGGTTTGATGCATTTGAGGTTAGACCTTGGGGTACTGACCTTCTGATGGAATCGTTAGACAAAGTGAAATGCATTCAAGGAAAGCTTCTAGCGGCTCAAAGTAGACAGAAAGAGTATACAGATCGAAAGGTTAGAGACTTGGAGTTTATGGAGGGTGAGCAAGTTTTGCTGAAGGTTTCGCCCATGAAAGGGGTGATGTGGTTTGGTAAGCGAGGTAAGCTTAGTCCGAGGTACATTGGTCCATTTGAAGTTCTGAAGCGCGTGGGGGAGGTAGCTTATGAATTAGCCTTTCCCCCAGGACTGTCAAGAGTGCACCCGGTATTTCATGTGTCTATGTTGAAAAGATACCATGGGGATGGAAACTACATCATTCGTTGGGATTCAGTTCTTCTTGATGAGAATTTGTCTTATGAGAAGGAGCCTGTTGCAATTTTAGATAGAGAATTCCGCAAGTTGAAATCAAGGGAGATGGCATCCATCAAAGTTCAATGGAAGAATCGACCAGTTGAAGAGTCCACTTGGGAGAAGGAGGCCGATATGCAAGAAAGATACCCACACCTGTTTACAGATTCAGGTACTCCTTTTCGTCCTTGTTTTTCTTCTTGTGATCGTTCAGGGACGAACGATGGGTAAATTGGTATCTATTGTAACGACGTGTTTAGTCATTTTGAGCAGTAGAATTTATTTCTGGTAATAATTGTCTCAGTCGACGGATCCCACGACGGACCGTCAAGGGTGTCTCGTTCCAAAACACTTAGACTCTGGAAAAATTGGGTACTGAGAACAACTCTCTGAACTTCGCGACGGAAGAGCAGGACGGACCGTCGTAGGCACGACGGACCGTCACAGACTCCTTAATGAATTGAGTCTCTGTACTTTGTGACGGAAGAAGCAGGACGGACCATCGCAGGCACGACGGGCCGTCACAGGCTGCGTAACCCTAACTGGGTCGAATTTCTGTTAAATGTGTTAAGGGGCGTTTTGGACTATTCCTGCTTATAATTATAAAGTTAGTGGTTTAATGTTAATAATTCAATTACTTGGGGGTTAAAGGAGACAACCTTGGAATAAATAGTGGGTTACTTTTACCATCTCTTATACTTAATTATATGGTAATTAGGGTAAAAGAAATAGAGTTTGGATAAGGAAAAATAGAAAGAACAGAGAAAAGAGGGGAGAACGAACGAACGAGAGAGGGAGAAACGAAGAGGAAAGCAAAGTTGGAAAAGTAGATTTCTTGATCACGATTCTTCGGTGGAGGTAGGTTATGATTTATGCTTTTCCATAGTTAACTCTTAATAGCGAATGATATGTGTTGGTTAGTATTGTAAAGTCTCCTATATGCTTAATTGTGTGTTTGCATGATGTAATTATGTAATTGTGATGAATTAGCATGATGAGGCTGTTGAATCTTAAACCTTAAAAACCTCCTTGATAATGATGATGCCTTGGTATAAAAGAAGGCTTGATGAACTAAATGAATGAGGTTAATGGATCGGTGTCACGTTCCGACACCAGGATAGTAGTAGTGGATCGGGTGTCACGTTCCGACACCAGGATAGTATTAGTGGATCGGGTGTCACGTTCCGACACCAGGATAGTAGTAGTGGATCGGGTGTCACGTTCTGACACCAGGATAGTATTAGTGGATCGGGTGTCACGTTCCGACACCAGGATAGTAGAGGATCGGAGTGTCATGTTCCGACACCAAGATAGTATGAGGAGGATCGGAGTGTCACGTTCCGACACCAGGTTAGTAAAAGGAATGAATCTTGAATTATGTTAATATACTCAATTTAAAGAACCTAATTCCTAAATGAGTATGGTATGGAGGCTTAAGTCTTCATAGATGTGCTTGGGTTGTGGCAAATGGTTATGGTACTTGTTGTTGTCACCTGTTAAGTGTGGGTGCCACTCACGACTCATTTTGGGTCGTGACATGCATCATAAATTCAGAAATATGATTTTTACTGAAGAAGAGTTAAATGTCATGGATGAGACCATTTTAAGCCAATCTCCCAGTCACCATGATTCTGAAGAGCAAGGAACCTCGAAAAAGCATGACGTTGATTTTGAACAAAAATATGTAGAGTTGAAAGCTGAAATTAAACAGGTATAAATAAAAATTTACGCTTAAAATAATTTTTAGATATTACGCTATACATATCAAAACTTATTACTGTTTAATGAACTGGTTAAGGTGGAGTTGAAGGATCTCAAAGTTAATGTTAGTTTCAATCTCATTTCAATGAACTAATATAATTACTCTATATTTTATTTTATTATTTTGATTTTTTTATACATTAATAAGATTGACAAGCACATGGTTAAAATCAAGACTTTTGTCGATAACTCGACTAAGCTTATAATTGAATAGATTAGATTGTCAAGACGTCAACCAACACTAGATGCACAACAACAGATATGAATCAATGTCTTTTATGCATATGAATGTTGTTTGATCATTGTATCTATTGATATTTTATGTCATTTGTGTTTACATTTATGATCAATGTATGACTTTTAAATGAAAAAATGGAAATTTTTTCATATATATATGTGTGTGTGTGTGTGTGTGTGTGTGCGTGTGCGTGCGTGCGTGCGTGGGTGTGTGTGTGTGTGTGTGTGTGTGAATAATGTATAGATGTATTAATTATGTATGAAAGTTTCTTATATATATATATATGAATAATCTA